GTTCTTTTATATGTGGTGCCCAACACGACATGAGGTTCTTTTAAATGTGGTGCCCAACACGACATATCGGGTTCTTTTAAATGTGGTGCCCAACACGGCATATGAGGTTCTTTTAAATGTGGTGCCCAACACGGCATATGAGGTTCTTTTAAATGTGGTTCCCAACACGGCATATGAGGTTCTTTTAAATGTGGTGCCCAACACGACATGAGGTTCTTTTAAATGTGGTGTCCAACACGACATATCGGGTTCTTTTAAATGTGGTGCCCAACACGGCATGAGGTTTTTTTAAATGTGGTGCCCAACACGGCATATGACGTTCTTTTTAATGTGATATCCAACATGCCTTTGAGAACCTTTAAAATGTGTAACTGTCCACCTAAAGTGAGATTGTTGTGTTAATTGTGTGTACAATCACGCTAGGTGAGATTGTGGTTATTTTATTTATAATGAGTAAAAAAATTAAGTTAATCGAAATCATATACATAATTTTTTGTAGTTAAAAAAAAAATTCGCTTTGTGAATATTACATTTACAGAGAAATATGTTGTATGTGATTCTAAAGTGTTAGGAACATTCTCACCAAACAAGACGCATTGCGTTCATTTCTCTTACACTAAAGACACTGAACAAACACATTTCATAAAGAAACTATACAAAAGCATGTCCTGTCAATAGCTGTTTTTGTATCTATAGAAAATAAATCCAATATCGTGTACGTATTTTGTAGAGATAGCAAGTGTACATTCTACAAATTACATTTCTTCACACAAATAAAAAAAAAAAAAGGAACCAAAGTTATGAATAATGAAACAGAATTTACTCTATATTGATTACTTTGATAAAGTTTCTACAATTCTTACATCACCCTCATGTCATGAAGTCAAAACAACTGCACAGGTTTGATGTTAGTTTTCAGTGATCTTTTAATGGGGCAACAATTGAGTATTTGTAGGTCAGCCGTGTAATGGAAGTTTCCTTTTCATTTTTGTCCCCTTTAAATAAGTCCCCTCCCACCAGCCCATCGGCTTAAAATAATACAGCAATTAAAAAAAAAATGTCCCAGTTTATGACACATTTTGTTAGAGGTTATTTACTGTCACACTAATCAATCCTGAACCATCGACTAATAAAGCAACCATGAATTTGCTGGGGAATAAAAAAAACTTTCAGTCACACACCCTTCAAACCTCATCCCTCCTTCAAACCTCATCCCTCCTTCAAACCTCATCCCTCCTTCAAACCTCATCCCTCCTTCAAACCTCATCCCTCCTTCAAACCTCATCCCTCCTTCAAACCTCATCCCTCCTTCAAACCTCATCCCTCCTTCAATAAATACAAATCTCAAGGATTCAACTTGACACGGCAAATAAAATAAAACCTCAGAAAATCTTTCACTCCATTGCATTTTATTCTTTTAAGATTGAATCTTCTTACAATTAATGCGGGATTAAAATGACCAAGCGCTCTATTTCTTAGACTGCCCCTCCCTCTACATTGTGTGGGCCGTGGTGATAAGGTTGTGAGCAGTTAGCCTTCCATAACGTGCCCACAGAGAAACAACCTGGTATGATATTTGTATGATAAATGTTTCCAGTACAGCTCAACCCCCTTTGTGATATGGGCGCTGTTAATTACCCCCCCCCCCCCCCCCCAAACCCCCCTTCCACAAACATCACACACACACAAAGCCCACCCCAAAGCCCGGATAAGTCTTTTACTCTGCTCCTTATGTACCATATAACATATCATGTTGTTTGGTGATTGATCACAGATGAGTTTCGCACCATCTCATGATGAGGACATTATCAGCTTACCGATGCTTCTCGTCAAAAGTTTAGCTATACTATTTTAAATACACACACAAACAACATACAAAAAGGAATCACTATTTAAAACTGCATGTTTAATATATTCAAATGCCTGCCCCAAATAGCATTTTGGGTTTTAAAAAGATCACTATCGAAGAAGAAATGTGAAGTCGTTGATCATGCTTTTAAATTCACCTTAAAATCTTCATTACAAAAATCAGGAAAAAAAACCCCAACGAATTATTCCTAGTATACCTAAGCTTAAAGTTAGGGATCAATAAGTTATCATCTAAAATTATTTATAACAATGCAGCTCAAAACTAAAGATTAGATTTAAAAAAACAAAACAAATAACATGTAACACTATTAATAAACAATTTAATATTTTAGATTTAAACACGCATTGCATTCCCAAATTAAAAACTCAAATCTGTGAGGCAAACAATATTCTTGGGGGTCTTATCTCAAACTTGGCATTGGGATTCAACTCCAAAATGTCCATTATGTTAACCTCGTGGTCGAGTATTCTTTCTTCTGTAGAATAAAATAGAATAAAATATAATTTATTCAAAGATTCCTATTTTTAATCTGAGCAGGAAGCCCACAAAGGCCTAACTGACGTCATTAAATGATTAAAAAAGTTATCAGGAAAAAAAAATATCTGGTCATGTTGATATCAAACAAAAATTTTATAGCTAGTGTTTTTATAGTTGTAACTGCTCTTTAAAGCCGTCTGTAAAGCTTCATGTGGCCGTCCAGAAAGCACCACATGGCGGTCCAAAAAGCTTCATGAGGCCGTCCAGAAAGCTTCATGAGGCCGTCCGGAAAGCTTTATGAGGCCGTCCAGAAAGCTTAAACATTTCCAAGAAGATGTCTAGCATCGTCATATCTCCGATACATATTTATTACTCATAATTTTCAGAAAGTGCTGACCAAAATTACAAATAAGAAAAATAAATTTTAATATTTAAAAGGTGTTAAAATCAAGACAGTTGACAAAAACTTGGTACCTATGTTTCCGCCGACCTCATGCAACACTCCAAACTTGACATAGTTTGGCTCTTCCCTGCAGATTATAGCATGGCGTGCATAGCTTAGACATATACCGGTATCTTCATGATATTTGCCTCTAAATAATAACATGCTGGATTGATTAAACAAATCTGAGACTCACTAAAACAAAAATTCAAACCAGTGACAGATGATTTAGAATGTTTGGCACTGATCTCATTGCCATCGAGTGGGCCCCAGAACGCCTACGGCTGTAGGGGTCCTCGGATATTTAAATAAAGGGCCCAAAGCTTTTGATGTTGAAAAATAAATTTCTAAATTATGATTGCATAGGGCGAAAAGTAGGACGAAAAAAACGGGGTAGGGGGCTCTCATACAGTCTATTGAAGGCTCTGGGATGCTCCACAATATTGTCATTTAAATATTATAGGCTTACAGCTGTTGTGTGCTTGTCTTTCATATAGGTTTACAGCTGTTCTGTAATGGTATTACAACTGTTCTGTGATGGTATTGTCATACAAACTTACAGATGTTCAGTGATTGTCTTGTCAAAGAAGCCTACAGCTGTTCAGTGATTGTCTTGTTAAAGAAGTTTAAAGCTGTTCAGTGATTGTCTTTACAAAGAAGTTTACAGCTGTTCAGTGATTGTCTTGTCAAAGAAGTTTACAGCTGTTCAGTGATTGTCTTGTCAAAGAAGTTTACAGCTATTCAGTGATTGTCTTGTCAAAGAAGTTTACAGCTGTTCAGTGATTGTCTTGTCAAAGAAGTTTACAGCTGTTCAGTGATTGTCTTGTCAAAGAAGCTCACGGCTGTTCAGTGATTGTAACGTTGCTGAGAGAGTTAAATGAGAAACGGTGGAATCCTTCGTTGTTATATAGATGTTAACAAATTTTGTCTTCCTTAAACATCGCAGTTCACTTACTGTCGTCTGCCATGATATATCTCCAGTACATCTTCTACCGTTGTCTTGCCGTCAATGGGGACAGTCTCTGTTTTAAAGTAGCCCACGTCAAAGATCTGAAGGTTGGCGCTGCTTGGCCGGCCCTAAACAAGATGAGACACGTATATATATATGAGACACGCATATCAGACACGTATATGAGACACTTATATGAGACACGTATGTGAGACAAGTATATAAGGCACGTATCAGCTGTTTCTGTACATCGTTTAGTGTGGAGATTGACCCTTATTTATTTGTACACTCGTTCTTACTGACCAACTAATGTTTGTATTGATCTATTGGTAACGTGAAGCTTATTTAAACACACTTCGAGATTTTGAATTTTTTAATTAATTATATTTGTTATAATTCTATAATTCATCGAAGATCAGCAGGTTAGATCATCCTGGAAATGAAATTGTATGATATGTTTTAGATATTTAAACAATTATTTTTACTTAAAAATACTTTATTAGCAAACTTTAAAAAAAAAAATTTGTATTCTTAAAAAAATCATCATGACGTCATTCAATGAATCGGTCAAATGGCGCCTTCAGAAGACAACCGTGACAATTTTGTGTGTGTGGCTAGAGTTAAAATGTTGGCTGATAGCAAGTAGCCTAATAACAAGTAGCCTAAAAACAAGGAGCCTAATAACAAGTAACTTAATAGCAAGTAGTTTAATTAGTGTTGCTAATGTACACCACGTTGTTAGATATGGTTAAGTTGTTAGTGTTGCTAATGTACAACACAATATCACTTGCCTCAGGTTTCTCTTCAGGCACCTTCTTCTTTGACCAGGGAAATGTCTTTAAGAAATAAACATATGATATAAAAAGTCATTAAACCCAAACAGACCTAAATATTGGAACATGCTTTACAAAATTGTCGACCATTAACATTGGAATGTGTTCTATAAAATTGAATACTTTTAATACTATAAACATACTTTCAAAATCTCCACTATAAATGGATTGGGTTCTAAAAATTATACCAAATAAAAAGAATATCCTATAAACAAAGAGGAGAGAAGAGAATAGCTGTGTATGATTAGAAATAGCTGTGTATGATTAGAAATAGCTGTGTATGATTAGAAATAACTGTGAATGATATGAAATAGCCGTGCATGATTAGAAATAGCTATGTAGGATTAGAATTATCGTATGCATGTCCATCTATAAAAATGCATAGTCCTGGCATTTAGGTATCAAACACAAAACTTTATCCATATGTTTTGTAAAAACAGGGCGAGGACTGAAAGATATAAAAATTCTTTTGTTCCCCAATTTGCACGAATCTACCAGCGTGCTCCATCTGAAGTCACACATCTTAATGAGACCTAATAAGTCCCCGATTTGGGTAAGAGAACTCACTGAATGGCTCTTTGAAATACTTTATTATAAAATGTCTTGTGTTCAATTTGTTTTATTTATGTGCTGAAAATGTATAATGTAATCATAATTTCCATTTGTTGGATCAATAAAAAAAATCTTATCTTATCTTATCTTGAAGAAAAGACCACAAAAATTTATACAATAATAAATGCAAGGATACATGATGAGATGAAATTACTTATTTTAAATTACAATATCCACCCTCATGGGTGTGATATGAACACAGTGATACAATGGCGCAGTACAGTATTCACATCAGGAATAAAAACAATCTAAAGTGATATGTTGAATGTGAAGATGACGATGGAGTTCCAAGGGATACTACTGAGATGACTGATTTAACAATTGAAGACTCTGTCCTATGGGAGACCGAAAGGATGCCGAGGTACCTATGCATCGTAGAAAAGTAACTAGACTAATGGCTCTGTCTGGGAGAAGAAGCTGAAAAATCAGCAGAATAGCCACTGAAGACTTTGGACAAGGTTACCCAGAGATTCTTTGTACTATTTAATGTCTGAACGTCAATGAAGCTTTGAACATCCTTTGTTATTGCAGAGCTCAACTTTAGATTAATCTCAATATGACTGAAAGTATTTAGCATTAGAATATGTATGCATGCTTTTTCTTCTCGGTAATTTGTACCTATTTTAAATTGATATAAATATGTATACAGCAGAGAGTTGATTGGCCAATTTTTTTTGGGCCAGGTGTGTTTCGGGTAACACATTTTGTCCGCAGACATTCACTTCGACGAAGTTAGTGCATAGAATCCAATCTATTTTTTTAGTTATTGGTCTACATGTATTTTGCTTTATTGTTCGGTCTTTTAAACGAAACTCCCTTTAATGGGGGAAAGCTGGTGTCATGGAAATAGTTGACATGCGCTTAGAATAAAATCACGTGGTGCTCGCAGACATTTAGTTTGCGATATACATTAAGCAACAAGTTTGCATACCGCTTAGTTCTGGTGATTCATTTGCAATGAGTACCTAGATTTTTACCTGACATGTGTGGCAGGACTAACAATATTTTTTTTAGTTTGTGTACGTAAATGCACAATGTCATGAGTTTTGAATTCGATAGAAAAATATCTACTAATAACTGAATGGGATCTATTGGATAGCATTTTGTTAGTAAAATCGTCACCGTACTGCATGTTAATTTTATCAATTATATTTTATTTAAATATTGCATAACCATACTTACAGATGTAGTCTGTTTCTTGTCGTTAATTTCTCTCAGTTTGTTCAGTATGTTAGGTGGCACCTGGTCAAGAGAGCACCCACACGTATTTAGGCATTGTGTTTTTGCCAGATAGAATTTTCATTATCAGTGGAATTAATTGGACCAATGTTGATTCGGTTAAGAAAGTTATTTATGAGCGCAAAAGGACTTGAAACAAAAACTTGTAAAAATGCCATCAGCAATAATAGGTCTCTCGTTATTTATGCATGACTGTAACACTTTGTTCAACAGGCGCGCAAAGTAAATGACTCAGACGTTAGCACTAATGGGGATTCTTGCCAAGTGTGTTACTTGAATGCATGATTTGTCAAGTAAGTTGAGTAGATGGGAAGTTCAAGCACCACCACCGCCATTGTTTCACGGGTTATTTTTTAGTGTTATAAATATTTCATGACTTACACAAATGGGTTAAAAATATCAAAGAGATTATTGATATTGGAAAAAAAATACTAATAAAATTGATCGGTTTGGAAAGGCTAAGACTTTTTTTTATGGCAAAAAGAAAGTTAATTTTTAAATAATACCCCCCCCCCCCAGGACCATAAATTAAAATAAGAATTAAAGTTTGTTCCAACTGATGTTTCTCCCGCTTACCACAAACATACGCTCACAGTAGTACACCATCATCCGTGTCACAGAATCCAGCTCTCTTTGTTTCGATTCTTGTTCTGTCACCGCCATGTCTCCCGGAAACCTTTTAAACCAAACAGGTCCAAAGACGCGACCGAAATCCATGGCCTCCATTTTGGTTTCCGGGTATTTGCTTAATATATTCAAAACGGTAACAACATACTGTATTCGAGGAGGGAGAGGAAAACCAGAAAATAGCCTTTGTGTAGCAAAACTCAAGTCTGAATGATAAAATCTCTTGGACGTCAAAAAACTAGGCACTATTTACTGAACGCCCGTTGAGGAGGAAAACGAAGTTTTTATTACAGAATCTTTGGAAAACAAACATGAGTTTCAAGTTGTTTGTCATCCTGGGACGTAGTAAACACACGATTCTCATTATTAATTTTTTTATATTAACTTCGCTTATGTGTGTGGCTGGCTGGCCAAAGCTTCGGACAGCTAATTGACCTCTTTTTCCCGTCATCCTATCGAGCTGAAACTTGCCATATAGACTTGATGTACAAGACAACACATTAAAAAAAAAATTCAGCCACATCCCTCATATATAATTTTCATTGGAATCAAAGTAAAATAATATCTAAGAACATTCATAATTTTCTACTGAACTTACATCTAGTGCATCGGAATACTTACAGACAGTGTATTGGAATACTTACAGCCAGTGTATCGGCATGCACTTGGGTCATTGTCAGAATAAACAAGTTCAGAATTTGGACCTGCTCTGTCACTGTGAACGCTGTCAATGGGAAATGATCAGTAAGTTTTCATTGTATCAAAAGGAGGAATATTATTTTCTCATTTCATTTATATTAACTCTAGAAGTAATGTGTACATTTATATTAACACTTGCTGTAATGTTTATATTTATATTTAAAAAAAAAACCATTTGATATTACATTGGGAATTGGCGTCAGCGGGCCGTCAAGACAAACCTCTTGATGCCGCCCCCCCCCCGAAGCACCCCAGCACCTAAGCCCAAGTAGAGGGTCACAAAGCGGCAAGTGGTGGGAGATCTCCCTCGACCACAACAGCCCCCCGCCAGCACCCATCTAATCAGGTACCAACATATACGCCACCCAGCCCAAGGGCATCCATTCGGTCGTTGACGCTGTTCTCACAGCGTCAGCAGTGGACTTTCCCCAAGTGATCTGTATATGGTATATTTACGTCCTAAAATTCCCCCCCCCCCGACACTCACATCCCAGGGAAGCATCAGACGCCCTCCCTTAGAGATTTCTACATTGCGTTTTTACCTCACAACTCATTTACGAAGCAGCTGGGATGAAACGGTTGCCTAGAAACGGCCCCATCAATGCTGCGTAAATAGAATCATCGGCATGTGATTACCACCACCAATCACATGCCTCATATCCATTAGCAGCAGCATGTCATCACAAACCCTTTCCTGTTTCTAGCTTTTATTTCCAACTGCAGATTTTCCACAGTTGGTCGCCCTGTAGATGCTACAATTTAAGGCAGATACCACGCATTTCCCGTTTACGCCCACGCATACACAATTGTTTTATCCCCTTGGTAACGCAGGGGTGGGGGAGAGCTTGTTGATTTACTCTAATATTCTATAGTATCTTGTAAATTTATTTACATTACAAAGGTTAATGTTTAGGTTTTTATAAATATGTATTTTTATCTCCTTTAGCAATATTCAATCAAAAGTGATTGATTGAATATTGCTGCGTGGAGTAAAAATAGTTATATTTTGACAGATTTGAAAACCGATATTAATTAAAATACCAAATTTTATTTTAAACTGGGTCCATCTAAACCCCAAAAAAATAAACAAATAAATAAACAAATACTTTCACATCAAGCACAGAAACACACCAATCACAGAAACACATCAAACACGGAAACAGATATAACACATATAACACAGAAACACATCAAGCACAGAAACACATCAAACACAGAAATACATTAAGCACAGAAAGACATCAAACACAGAAACACATCAAACACAGGAACACATAAAGTACAGAAACACATCAAGCACAGAAACACATCAAGCAGAGAAACACATCAAACACAGAGATACATCAAACACAGAAACACACTAAGCACAGAAACACAACAAGCACAGAAACACATCAAACACAGAGATACATTAAGTACAGAACCACATCAAGAACAGAAACACATCAAACACAGAAACACATCAAGCACAGAAACACAACAAGCACAGAAACACATCAAACACAGAAATACATCAAGCACAGAAACACATCAAACACAGAAAAACATTAAGCACAGAAACACACCAAGCACAGAAACACATCAAACACAGAAAAACATCAAGCACAGAAACACATCAAGCACAGAAACACATCAAACACAGAAACACACCAAACACAGAAACACATCAAACACAGAACCACACCAAGCACAGAAACACATCAAAAACAGAAAAAACCACTAAGCACAGAAACACAGCAAGCACAGAAACACACCAAGCACAGAAACACATCAAGAACAGAAACACATCAAACACAGAAACACACGAAGCACAGAAACACATCAAGCACAGAAACACATCAAGCACAGAAACACATCAAGCACACACAACAACACACACACACACCAAGCCTGCCAACCTACAATAAATTTCTGGGAAAAACTCAATTTCTGGTGAAGACATCAACGGGACAGGAAGTTCAAGGAAGAGGAGCTTCCAACAGGTTCCCATTTGACCCATAACATAAATCGGAGCAAGTACAAACTGATCTGGATTTGTGTAAAAAAACTTCTCAATACGAGATTGAAACTCCTGTGAAACAAGGGAAATCATCATTGACAGTTGTTTGACTTTGTCGTCATGGTTGACATTCTATTTTAGAGAATCATTTAAGGAATTGATAGAAAAAGAAAAAAAAAATTCTCGGGGGGGGGGGGTGTCGCGGGGTTGGGGGGATATTTTACACTCAAATGGTAGTCTTGTGACTTAATGGTAAAGCAGTCATATGACTTAATGGTGAAAAAAATTCTCGGGGGGGGGGGGGTGTCGGGGGGTGGGGGGGATTTTTTACACTCAAATGGTAGTCTTGTGACTTAATGGTAAAGCAGTCATATGACTTAATGGTGAAGCAGTCATGTGACGAGATAATACAGAGTCGGGCTAACATCGAGTTAAAATTGATTTTTTACAGCCATGTAAAGCAGTGCAGCTATTGTTGGAAATATTACTAATAGGTTAAGACAGAAGTCAACCTCGTGTCCAATTCAAAATTATCAATTTGTAATAGAGCAAGTATCGTAGATATTCACAGTATAATCACTTTCAAAATATTGTCAGTCTGCGCTAGAGCAATTGCCATGGTGTTAATATTGTCATGTTGTGCTAGATCAAATATGGTAGACACTCGTGGCATGAAATTGTCAGTCTTTGCTAGAACAAGTTTTGTAGATAGTCATGTCATAATATTGTCAGTCTTTGCTAGACCAAGTAGTAAAGTCATGGCATAACATTATCAGTCTTTGCTAGACCAAGTGGTGTAGATAGTCATAGCATAACATTGTCAGTCTTTGCTAGACCAAGTGGTGTAGATAGTCATAGCATAACATTGTCAGTCTTTGCTAGACCAAGTGGTGTAGATAGTCATAGCATAACATTGTCAGTCTTTGCTAGACCAAGTAGTGTAGATAGTCATAGCATAACATTGTCAGTCTTTGCTAGACCAAGTAGTGTAGATAGTCATGGCATAACATTGTCAGTCTTTGCTAGACCAAGTAGTGTAGATAGTCATAGCATAACATTGTCAGTCTTTGCTAGACCAAGTAGTGTAGATAGTCATAGCATAACATTGTCAGTCTTTGCTAGACCAAGTGGTGTAGATAGTCATAGCATAACATTGTCAGTCTTTGCTAGACCAAGTGGTGTAGATAGTCATAGCATAACATTGTCAGTCTTTGCTAGACCAAGTAGTGTAGATAGTCATAGCATAACATTGTCAGTCTTTGCTAGACCAAGTAGTGTAGATAGTCATGGCATAACATTGTCAGTCTTTGCTAGACCAAGTAGTGTAGATAGTCATAGCATAACATTGTCAGTCTTTGCTAGACCAAGTAGTGTAGATAGTCATAGCATAACATTGTCAGTCTTTGCTAGACCAAGTAGTGTAGATAGTCATAGCATAACATTGTCAGTCTTTGCTAGACCAAGTGGTGTAGATAGTCATAGCATAACATTGTCCGTCTTTGCTAGACCAAGTGGTGTAGATAGTCATGGCATAACATTGTCAGTCTTTGCTAGACCAAGTGGTGTAGATAGTCATGGCATAACATTGTCAGTCTTTGCTAGACCAAGTTGTGTAGATAAACAACGCATAATCCCTATCATTATTCTTAATTTGGCGTTTTGACAAGCGCATTCTGAGCTCAGACTCACTGTAAATACCGGTACATTATTTTGAAAATTTAATCTGCAACAAGAGTCGGTTGGTTAAATGAACACATTTATTGTTTTAAATCACAGGGGAGATAACTCATAATTATCGAAGTAAAACGATACGAAAGCTAGTGATATTAAAAATAGACCATTTATTTATACTGTTACATTTCTATTTTTAAAAAAATAAATTAAATGTACAGAGAAAAATCTATGTCAAATTACATCACATCAATCCTCAAGATATATGCAAAAAATTAATTTAGACTTGCACATACATAGTACAATCTTGCCAGTAAATTACTCTTATAAATTAGTAAAATATCTCCTGGCTAAGCAAGCTTCCCACCTTTATATAGGGATTAAATCAGAACCATCCGAGAGAAGACATTCTAGAAATCGCCTTACCTGGTAGTGTTCCTTAGAACACATAGAAAGTTTTCGAACATATAAAACCTTTTCCGAATTAAGGGAGATAAAGCAAAAAAGAAGTGGCACTGCAAATTCAATCGGTGACGTCAATATCAAAACAAAGCCAAGGGGAGACACGTGGTAATGACCACAACGCTAAAATTAGACCGACACATTGGCCATAACTCTTACCTTTACACCTTTGAAATTGACATCATTCTTGAGAACGTCATCCCATTTTTTCCCATAAACTTGAATAAAGTCTCCTATCTTTAGAAGGAAAGACGTGTTTTTGAGGGGGTGTGGGGGTGGGAAGGTCTAATGTTAAAACTGTTTCCTTTTGGATGTGATGCATTGACAAAAATCTGAACCTTAATAAATTATAGATAAATTAAAGGTTTCATTATATTTCACAAAAATAAGTAGAACATGCAGAAGTGATACTGTAAGATTTGACAGCAAACAGGTACACTAGTTATATTGTACGATTTGACAGCCAACAAATGAAGTAGTTACGTTGTAAGATTTGAAAGCCAACAAATGAAGAAGTTACGTTGTAAGATGTGACAGCCAACAGATACAGTAGCTATATTGTAAGTTGTGACTGCCAACAGATACAGTAACTACAGTGTAAGATGTGACAGCCAACAGATACAGTAGCTACATTGTAAGATGTGACAGCCAACAGATACAGTAGCTACATTGTAAGATGTGACAGCCAACAGATACAGTAGCTACATTGTAAGATGTGACAGCCAACAGATACAGTAGCTACATTGTAAGAATTGACAGCCAACAGATACAGTAGCTACATGGTAAGATGTGACAGCCAACAGAACAAAGAGCAGACGCAACGGTCACGCCATACCCATTGGACAACGGCTGGAACTAGCAGCTTTGTTTCATCAATCCTATCCGTTTTCATGTCTCTCTGCACGAGAACTTCAAGTGATGCTCCAAATACTTTCCCGTCATCTAAAACAGTTTTAAAAGAAAAGCAATATCCGTGATTTGGCTGGATGGATAATAAGACTTTAAACCAATGGCATCTGAACATCCAGACAAAAAATTTTCCCCTTAGAGACTATCCATTTATTACGCACGGAATGAGAGGGTAGTCGAAAATTTGGGGATTTGAAGAACCGATGTGTAAGTCGCGGAGAAGAATCTCTGCAGACATTACGTGCGTTTATGCACACATGCTGCAATAAGCATTATAGAGTCGATTAACATCCAATTGATGTCACCAAGAAAGCCACCCGTCAACTTAAAATCTGATATGTATGATTTCATATTATTTTCGAAAGCTATAAAAATAACGGGTTCTTAACGAGGCTTGGAGAGAGATGGAGTGAGATGGAGTGAGATGGAGCGAGATGGAGTGAGATGAAGTGAGATTTAGGAAGGAAAAAGTAAGTCGATTTTAAAGGCCATAATAACGTGATTAAATTTAAACACAGAGTTGTAGGACTTGTTTTCATTTCTCTCTCTCTTTCTCTCTCTCTCTCTCTCCATCTCTCTCTCTCTCTCTCTGTGCATGTGGTTGGGAGAGAACTGTGTCCCTCCGCCCATTAAACGCCAACTTTTTATTACGCTAATCATTAAACCAGGCCCGCTCAACACAAAATGTGAGGCGGGCTGTATGAAAAACGTGTGCGGCCCGAAAGAAAATAGGCGACCGGGGGGGGGGGAGATCAATTAAGAAAATAATAATGATGAAGAATATTTCGTTACTATGCGGGCCGTAAGTTGTGCAGGTCTGCATTAAAAAAATCAGATGGTTATCAAACTACAATAAGATAATCAGATGTTTATGCAACTACAACAAAGTCATCAGGTGGTTATTAGACTACAATAAGATAATCAGTCGGTTATTGGACTGCAATAAAATAGAGAAGAAATTTGATATATTAAACAATGCCAACCTTTATATTGTTTCCAAGACTTGACTACTTTGAACGGGATCTTCAATTTTTTTAGAACGTCCTGCAGCTCTTCACTTGCAATACTTTGTATCGTTTTTCTGTCCTCTTTCCCCAGATCCCACGCCAAGGTATATCCATTTTTATCTTTGGGGTAGGGCATATCCTGTGAGAAAAACATATTTGTGTATGACATATCCTGTGAGAGAAACATATTTGTGTATGACATATCCTGTAAGAAAAACATATTTGTGTATGACATCTCCTGTGAGAGAAACATATTTGTGTATGACATATCCTGTGAGAAAAAACATATTTGTGTATGACATATTGAGAGAAACATATTTGTGTATGACATATCCGGTGAGAGAAACATATTTAAGTGGGGCATACCCTGTGAGAGAAACATATTTAAGTGGGGCATATCCTGTGAGACAAACGTTTGAGTATTCTTGAAATAATAGTTCTAAAAAAGAAAAATTACTATTGACAAATTTTCAAAGGCAAAATCCGCATTTCAATAAATTACTATGGAAGAATAAATGGTTTAACCGTGAATTTTACCTTTTAGAACGTATACGTTTGTCCATTTAGCAATAGAATCTACACAAATCGCTAAAAAGGCATAAATAATTTTTTTTATTTTATTTAGTAATCGGCATTGCATCATTTAAAATAAAAGAATAAAAAAATCTTATGAGACGCTTGAAACTTACAGGCAAGTCTACATAGGTGCGGAAGGGTACGATGTTGAGCCCGACATAGTTAAGGGAAGCTGGTCCAAGTCTATGCTTGATATAAGACAGGAGACAATGACGGCCACACCCAAGGAAACCATTCAGTAGTGTCACTCTCTGGTGGATCGTGGGATATGAAGGCCAAACAGATGTTGATTCAGATACCTAGAAGTCAATGAGTCAATGTAAATAGACGTTGATTCAGATACCTAGAGGTCAACGAGTCAATGTAAATAGAGGTTGATTCAGATACCTAGAAGTCAATGAGTCAATGTTAATAGATGTTGATTCAGATACCTACAAGTCAACGAGTCTATGTAAATAGAGGTTGATTCAGATACCTAGAAGTTAATGAGTCAATGTAAATAGATGTTGATTTAGATACCTAGAAGTCAATGAGTCAATGTAAATAGACGTTGATTCAGATACCTAGAAGTCAACGAGTCAATGTAAACAGAGGTTGATTCAGATACCTAGGAGTCAATAATTCAAAATAAGCAATATCTCAAGAGCCGCAGCTGAGTCAATAATTCATTTGAAATAATATATCAAACCTTACTGCTGAGTCAATAAGTATTTGCAAACAATATCAATGCTGGCTGGCAACTGAGTCCGTGTGACACATTGGACATAATATCAAATGTAGGAGGATAGCTAGTCAAACATAGGAGGATAGCTGGTCAAACATAGGAGGGTAGCTGGTCAAATATAGGAGGGTAGCTGGTCAAATAAATGTTTACATTTGTATAGAACTATGTATTCCTTCAGTTTGAATCTTAAGTATTTTTACACAAAACTATCGACAAAGAAATACAAAAGCATGTAACGAACATACATGAAAAAAAAAAACCTCATTTCAAATTCCAACTCTAATCTGGTGTACTGGTTTCAAATAAATTTATGGTGAAATCTTGGCATTAATTGAATATTTCTTTTGAGTTCTGGCCATTGATTTGATACCTGTCTTTAGCAGCTGCTTCTCAGGCCCACCTCTTGGTGACAAAACCTTTTAGAGACAAAATCTCGTGGCGGGAAAAAAAACCCTTTGCATTAAAACCTCTGGGGTCAAACCTTTTGTGTTAAAACCACTAGAGTCAAAAGCTCTTGGGTGAAAACCTCTTGGGTGAAAACCTCTTTGGTGAAAATATCTTTGATCAAAATTTATTTACGTCGAAGCCTCTTGGATAAAAACCTTTTGGATCAAAACCTCTATACAAAAATAATTAAAAAAGCTGCACAACAGTAAATAAAAAAAACTGAATCATTATGTGACGAGAAATTTTCAAAGAAATTTGGAAACTAAAGTCCCACCATTTTGACGTTATTTGACGGTAATGTGTCTACTTGAATTCTGCTCAGTTGTCCCAAAGTGGAGCTAATGTTCTTTAGACTTTTCCGAACATTCTCTGCTGGTGATTGGCTGAGACTTTGTCTTGCCAGAACTTTATCTGAAACTAAGACATGATTTAAAATCAAATTCATAACTAAAACAGGAATCATTTAACCTTGATATAAATCAATATTCTAAATGTGCGTGTTGAATTAAAATAAACATCTAAAGTAGGCCGTTTTCGCCAGCTCATTGAAACAACATTTCACAGATGGGAACAATAGCACACCATATTATTATATTATGGTAGTGAGACATGTAGCACCAGCAAAAGTAACCATATATTATGATATGGAACTGTGCAACATCAGCAATGGTTCACCATATATTATGGTAGGAGAAAAGTTTTTACTTACACCATTGTTTATTTATCTCTTGCTGGAGACCACCTGGGCGTGATTTGAAATGCTTGTCATCGGCACAGGATGCTAATTCCTTTTTACAACACCCAGCTGATGTTACCAGACGCTTCACGGGGATATTAATGCCTTTTAGGCTAAGCAAAAGCAGCATCTTCGCCATTGTAGATTTATCTCCACAAACACAAGTTTGCGCCGAATCAAAGAAAGGCACTAAATTGTAAGTGATGCTTCAACAAAATACACGTTTTGGTTTCGAGAGTTCAATCACTAATAATAATCTGTTTTTTTTTAAAAATTACAAGCATTATATTTTGTTTTAAGTTGACTCTTACGCGTAAGTTGCCTGGGCTTATCAAAGATCGGATTATTCTAAAGCCATTTGATATCTTTCGACAGGCCCTTTGGAAATCTCTTAGAAAAACTTTGAGCTGGTTTTCAGATTAATAAAGTGGAGGCAATTTAGTAGTGTTCCAAAAAAAAATGTGACAGCTTTGAGTAATAGTTTAGTTGCTGTTCTAAATATTTAGTAATTTTGCAGTAATATGCTAAAGATGTTAGTTATCAGGGACTATAATCAATGTGTTCTCCCTGGTATTCAACAACCATTTGCAAAACGTTGGCACACTTTGGTTTTGATACTGATAATAAAGCTTTTCTACATCCCATGACCATTGAAACCATAGATGACACAGTTGAAGATTGAATTGGCATTCTACTTATTCAGTGGCATTACACATTGCACACCACTGGACGACATGCTGCAAGCAGAACACAATGCCCCAAAGTGAACTCTTTGAACATGCCAAGATGTACTGCTTGCTTTTCCCCTCTCATCAAGAGATTGGTCAGTGGCTACGGTCAACAAAGAATTTGACAAACTGGCATAGGAAAAACAATCTGCTAGCCCGCCATGTCTTCTCTATAAGGAATTTTTTATGTGAGATATGAAGGTGGTCAACATTCCTGTTAATGACTGTGAGGTCTGAAAACTCTTCTGGTTGCGGTTTGGTATCAAGCAAAGTATTTTATGAGACGGATGACTACGACACGCTTACCTTGTTGAAAGAAAGCCAGCAGGAATGTTTATTACACACCAAACTGCAAAGTTTAACTGGATGGCATGAAGCAAACACTACCACATCGGAATATGCACCTCGACGAGTCAGGAGGTGCAGCAGAGACTACCTCCCCAGGACGTAACGATCGACCAGCCCGGAGGATCAGCAGAGACAACAACTCCAGGACACGACAATCGGCCAGCCCCGGAGGATCAGCAGAGACTACCTCCCCAGGACGTAACGCTCGGCCAGTCACGGAGGATCAGCAGAGACAACCACAGTAGGACAAAACAGTCGGCCAGTCCCGGAGGATCAGCAGAGAAAACCACTGTAGGACAAAACAGTCGGCCAGTCACGGAGGATCAGCAGAGACAACCACTGCAGGACAAAACGGTCGGCCAGCCACGGAGGATCAGCAGAGACAACCACTGCAGGACAAAACGGTCGGCCAGCCACGGAGGATCAGCAGAGACAACCACAGAAGGACAAAACCGTCGGCCAGCCACGGAGGATCAGCAGAGACAACCACCGCAGGACAAAACGGTCGGCCAGCCACGGAGGATCAGCAGAGACAACCACTCCAGGACAAAACAGTCGGCCAGCCACGGAGGATCAGCAGAGACAACCACTGCAGGAAAAAACTGTCGGCCAGCCATGGAGGATAGGATCAGCAGAGACAACCACAGTAGGACAAAACAGTCGGCCAGTCCCGGAGGATCAGCAGAGAAAACCACTGTAGGACAAAACAGTCGGCCAGTCACGGAGGATCAGCAGAGACAACCACTGTAGGACAAAACGGTCGGCCAGCCACGGAGGATCAGCAGAGACAACCACTGCAGGACAAAACGGTCGGCCAGCCACGGAGGATCAGCAGAGACAACCACTGCAGGACAAAACAGTCGGCCAGCCACGGAGGATCAGCAGAGACAACCACTGCAGGAAAAAACAGTCGGCCAGCCACGGAGGATCAGCAGAGACAACCACTCCAGGACAAAATAGTCGGCCAGCCACGGAGGATCAGCAGAGACAACCACTGCAGGAAAAAACTGTCGGCCAGCCATGGAGGATCTGCAGAGACAACAACTCCAGGACAAAACAGTCGGCCAGCCACGGAGGATCAGCAGAGACAACCACTGCAGGACAAAACAGTCGGCCAGCCACAGAGGATCAGCAGAGACAACCACTGCAGGACAAAACAGTTGGCCAGCCACGGAGGATTTGCAGAGACAACCACTGCAGGACAAAACAGTCGGCCAGCCACGGAGGATCAGCAGAGCCAACCACTCCAGGACAAATCAGAGCCTCCGAAAACGTTGATCCGTTTCGAGAACCATGCAACTTATTTGTTTATCGAAATGTTTATTAACTAATGAAAGTGAGTATTATCAATGCAAAATGTGTATTAACTAATTAAATATGTATTAACTCATTGACTTGTATCTTAACTAATTGAGATACGTATTAACTCTTGAAAATACGCATTGACTAATGGGAATATGTATAAACTAAAGTTCGTTTTATACTTATAGCAGAAAGAATTCTAGTATAAAATATATATCAACAGCCACTCCGCAGAAGCCACCTCCTACTGTACCGACATCTTTTGATCGGCGCCTGACCTGACATATGTGAGCTGAGATACGATTGACGTAGAGGTTCATAAGGTGGTACAGTCCCCTATAGTCGTCACCCTGGGCTCAGGCCCGCCTTGGTAAGCTATTCTATGAAGCCGCAATGGTAGGAAAAAAAAAACTGCACATGCTTGGTTTTAACAGGAAGAAGAAAGTGAAGAAGAAAGTGAAGAAGAAAGTGAAGAAGAAAGTGAAGAAGAAAGTGAAGAAGAAAGTGAAGAAGAAAGTGAAGAAGAAAGTGAAGAAGAAAGTGAAGAAGAAAGTGAAGAAGAAAGTGAAGAAGAAAGTGAAGAAGAAAGTGAAGAAGAAAGTGAAGAAGAAAGTGAAGAAGAAAGTGAAGAAGAAAGTGAAGAAGAAAGTGAAGAAGAAAGTGAAGAAGAAAGTGAAGAAGAAAAGGGAAAGAAGAACGTGAAGGCTCACAAATAAATGATTCATAACAGTGGACTTTATTGGCTTCTAAACGGATGAGTTTACAAACTCTATAACATTTTACCAGCATGGCCTTAATGTGATCTTGCTCCCTTCTCATTGGATGTGAGGAAATTGAGTTACTTTACCCACAGCTGTGTAGCCACGGAACTTTCTTTAACAAATATTTTGTCTAAGTAAACACAATAAAGATTTTAAAAAAGTAATTCTTAGGTATGCATGATCATGATGCTAAACTATATTGGCACCCAAGTACAAGTCGTCTAAGCTAGAGTCATGTGAATGCTGCTCTCTTTGTGATACATCGTTATTGGCATACAAGTCGTCTATGGTAGAGTCATGTGAGTGCTGCTTTCTTTGTGACACATCGTTATTGGCATACAAGTCGACTATGATAGAGACATGAGAGCGGTGCTCACTTTGTGATACTCCCATTAATGTTTCAATGGACTGGTTATTAGCGACCCTGTCCCAACCCTAATATAAGACAATTATTAGTATTTACAGGATTACAGTTGATGAGCGAGATATTTTAACTGCTTGTTTGATCCTTTAACGTGCTATAAAATTGTTTTAATGTGGTTACCAACACATTATGTGAAGTCCTTTTAAATTTGGTGTCCAACAAGGAATGTGAGGTTCTTTTAAATGTGCTGTCTCAAATGGCATGTGAAATTCTTTTAAATGTGTTGCCTCAAATGGCATGTGAAATTCTTTTAAATGTGTTGCCTCAAATGGCATGTGAAATTCTTTTAAATGTGTTGCCTCAAATGGCATGTGAAATTCTTTTAAATGTGTTGCAACAAATGGCATGTGAAATTCTTTTAAATGTGTTGCCTCAAATGGCATGTGAAATTCTTTAAAATGTGTTGCCTCAAATGACATGTGAAATTCTTTTAAATGTGGTGCCTCAAATGGCATTTGAAATTCCTTTAAACCTGGTGCCCAAACGCCATGTATAGTTCTTAAATAAAAAAAAAATTAAACCCACTTTCGTTTTGGGCATATTACATGTATAGAGAAATTTGTTGTTTATGAATAATATGATTCTGAAAGGTTAGGACTATTCTGACCAAACAAACGCATAGCGTTCATTTCTCTTACACTACCGACACTGTCCGAAAACATTTCATAAAGACACTGTACAAACCCAATTTATAAAGTCACTGTACAAAAAGCATTTCATGTCAACAGCTGTTTTAGTATGTATACAAAATAAGTATAACGTCGTGTACGTAGCTCTAGAGATGTAAAGTTTACATTCTACATGTACATGTACACAAATAAAAAAAACCCTTAGAAAGCATACTTATAAATAATGACTTAGTATTTAATATTTATTGCTTCCTTTCATAAAGTTTACACAATTCTTACATCATCCTTGAGTAATAAATTTAAAATAAATACGCAAGTGTGTTGTTATCTTTCCGTGATCGTTAATGGGTCAACAATTGAGTGGGTATTTCTTTTGCTAGTTTACTGATTATTTACGGTCACACTAATGAATCCTGAACAATCGACTAAAAAAACCCAACAACAACAGTTTCCTGGGGAATAAAAAAAACAACCTTTCAGTCACAAACCCCTCAACCCTCCTCCTTCCTTTCATAAATACAAATCTCAATGATTCAACTCGACGTTCCAATTAAAATAAAACCCCAGAAAATCTTTCACTCCATTGCATTTGATTCTTTTAACTTTTAATCTTATTATAATTAACGCATTATTAAAATTTCAAAGAAGGTCCCTCCACATTGTGTGGCTCTGTTGTGATAAGGTTGTTAGCATTCCATTCACTTGCCCACATAGAAACAGCCTGCTATCATTTTTGTATGCTCAATGTTATGAGTACAGTTCAATCGCCTTTGTGACGTTGGTGCTGTTGATTAAAAAACAAGCCCCCCCCCCAAACTTTTTTTCCAAGGGTAAATCACAACCTACCCCAAAGTCCAGATAATTTTTTTTTACTGAACTCACAACTCCACTGCTCCCTGTTTACCATATAAAATATCATGTTTGGTTATTAAGCAGTTATGAGATTCACACC